TTGTTGAGCAATTTACTAAAATTAAACTTCCACAAAATCTGAATTCCCATCTAGTGTCGCCACACTACCAAAGCAGATATTGAAACTTATCCCTGCCAGGCAAGAAATGACTGTCAGCAGTTATAAAAGGAACCAAAACTACAAATGCAAAATGGGGAAGCAACCATCAGCTGTGCACTGAGCAGATAATTACTCATGCTGTTATCTTTTGACAGGTAGAAAGGACGGGAATGTTCTCAAAATCCCTTCCTTGTGCAGTTAAACACAGCTAAATTTAACACTTTAGTAGCTGAAATCTGTCAGCTTCACTAAGTTATTGCTTCTGATGGATGATTAAAAGCCAAGACAGTTTTATTAAAGCAGCCGGCATTCATGTTTAAATGAAAACATAATTTTAAAAGTGCAGTACCAACTTCTGTAAATGTACATTAAATCAGGTAAATCCTTACTCTTAACAACACGACATAAAATCTCAGTAAAAAAGTCAGAGCAAGTCTTCTTGACTGCTTTTCCTTTCTTTTTTCCGCCAAAGGAGCCGATTTGTTTGATATTCCTCCTCAAGTGTCTGCAGCCTTCTTCATTGTTGCAGCCGCTTATTTCCCAGTGGTATAATTGCAGCATATGCAGCGCATGAATTTTACTGCCAACACACGGCAGGCCTGCAGGTGGGCCTATCAAACATCTGGTTGACTCCCTGGGTACCTGCGTTCCATAGTTAGCCTCCTATACATGCACGCAAGGGGAGGCATATAGAATATAGGGGTTTTATTCACAGCGCCATCTGTTCGTTTTCATACAATCGCAGCCCATTTAAATGGTTTTAGCTGTAATGTCACTGAGGCGTAGATGAGAACGGAGCCAGTTAAACTGTTAAAAACAGATGGATGGGGGAAGCTGAGTAAAACAATGAATCTGTCAGTTCAAAAAGTGATAAATTCTGTTAATTAACTATTAATTAAAGCAGTTTTTCCACAAGCTTTCTCACTGTTTACGTCACGCTGGCTGTTGCAGGGGCAAAATCTTCTGTTTCTGTTAATGTTTCTCAAGTAGCCCAACGAAAACCAAAGAGGAAAATAAATGAGTGTCAGTGTGAACGATCAAGTGGCTTCTACCTCAAATATATCCACATCTTAGCGCTGCGTTTTCCACGCAACTGAAGTGCAGCGCGATGCAGTTTGAGCAAAGTTTGCATGGCACACGGATACGAAGGGAAACGCCGGGCGAAAACAATCAGCTCAGATGGTGCAGGGAGGGAAACTCTTTTGTGAATGCCCAAATGGATGACGCATAATGGCACAAACCTAGATAGGAGTTTCATTTGCATATATATTTATAATTTCTTTTCTTAATGGGAAATGCAAATGTGCCATTTTGCAGCAAATGTGTGTGTTTGGGACTCTTCGCGTTGAATAAATGTGACTCTAGGGTATCCCCACGCACCTCGGCATATTAATCATCGTGACACGTTCACGACCCTTCTAATAAGACAGGGGCCACGGCAAACCCCCTCAAACATCCCATCCAGCCCCGGCCCCGCTCCCTCTTTGTCTCTCAGCCGGTCCCCAGGGAGCGGAAAGGATGGTGGGGGAGGCCGGGCTCGGGCTGAGGGCGGAGGGGGCGGCGGGGCGCAGCGGCTTGTGTTTGTGTGTGTGTGTGTGTGAGAGAGAGCGTGTGTGTGAAGTTAGACCCCTTCATTCAAAGGTCTCCCTCGGGACAACGGCAGGCACAAGACTCCTATTAGGACTGAGCACGGTAGCCCCCCAGGAGCAACAAAAGACACCTCCTAATGCTCCCTGTTCTAGCTCAGTGAACACGCACACATGGAACCAGGCAGCCCCACATAAACACACAACACACACGGCCTCCAAACTGCTTCGGCGGCGAACACACTCCCCGCTCATTGTTTTTAGTGTTACACATGTTTGCATTATGAGCGCGTTCGCCAGGCAGCGGGACGGGAAGAGCAGTGAAGTGCGATAAGGTGGACAGCTGGACAGCACGAGGCATGCCGGGTGTCGCTGCTGCTGTTTGTGTGCGTCCACACATGCATGCCAAACACAATGTGGGTCTGTGGCAGCCAGATCCTCTTACGCACTTTACATATGCTAATAAATGACGAACACTTCCAAATGGTTTTAATTAAGCTGAATTTACTGACAGCACGGCTGAGGAGGCCGTCGGGTTTTAAGAAACGGTGTTTATTTTTTGTCAAATTGACTTAATTTTTTTTACATTTGCATTCAGTTGAACCAGTTCAACCAAGAAGTAAGCAAGGAAATGAAGTAATTTAGCTAAAACCAGCAGAGTTTTGTTGTGCATATGTCTGATCTCTTCTGTGATGTTTGTGCTGCAGTAACAAAACGTGAATTTAATTTTGGTTTCAAATGTCATGCATCTTAATCATGCATGAATTATGATCCTTTGTCTCAGGATTTTTTTTTTTCAATTTTTTTTTATTTTCTTAAGGCATAAAAAAGTAGGAATAATTTTGTTGTAAATAAATAAATAAATAAATAAATAAATATTTTATGTTTTTTAATTGATCAATTGTAATTTTCTCCAAATACAAAGTTGTTATTTGAAAAATACATCAGTAGTATTGTTCTTTAGGGGTTTTCTGATGTAACAATATTTTTTTTTACCTGCCAAAGTCGTCTACAGTAGAAGGAGGGACCGGGTCAGTCGGCCATATTGGATTTAACAAAAATAATTTCTTGCGTTTGCAGCTGATGGCCAGTAGTTGATGGTGTATTTTATGGTGCGTTAGTGTCCACTTCAGTGGTCTGTGTGCATTTATAACATAAAAATCCACAAGAAGCACAAGAAAATGGCTTTTAGACAGCCGTCCACTGTAGTGACCTCTAAAGGATTAAAACTTCTGCATAACTAGTAACGAATCTCAATCCTGAATTTGATGCAGTTGATTATAAACTGTAAAAATGAACAGACTGCCAATAAAGATTACCTGGCGTTCCTCAGGGCTCCGTTCTCAGTCCATATTTATTCATAATCCACTCGGCTCAGGTCAATTGTTACCTGATTAAACACAACCTTAGATTCTTGTGTCGTCACATGACCATAATAAATTACTGAGTCGGCGACTGAAATTATATTTATGACTTTATTTGTCAGAATTTCCTCCAACTTCCTGCAGAAAACACAGAAGTCATTGAACTGACTAAACTCCCTCAGATCTTGGGTGTTAACATTGACTCTAAAATATTAAATCAGTCTTCTGTCATTCAAAACACATTATGGGAATAAACAGTTTCCTGACACATATAAACTAGTAATGCTTTTATTTTCAGTAAGTTAGATTACTAAAACAGTGTCTTTACTTAGTATGAAGGCATTAAGTTAATGTAAAAGTTATATAATCGGATTTTATTAATGGTTTGATAAAAAAGGATGTCATCTCATGCCGTTCTCAAACATATGCAGAAAAGTCTTTTCTTGCCATTAAAGGGATCAGGTTCATGGTTGGTGTCCAGTTTTCAGCAGGTTTCCTCTGATACTTTTGATCAATAAGTTGCTAGATTTCAATATTCAAAGGCCTCTTTGCCATCACCCTAATCTTTATGGCCAGGTTGCTCCAAAATGTTGCAGTCAGAAAGGAGCATGTTGGTTAAAGCTACAGATGGTTTTAAACCTAAATCTGTCAGGAGAATTTATCATTTCTATCTTCACTGATGGCAAATATAATGACAGTGAATTCATGAAAACATCAGACGTCCATCTTTCTGGATCATCAAACGCTGCAGACGCTGCTGATGTCTGAGGTTAAGAGAATCATTGTTCTCTTTATCAAAGACTGATGGATTTATTTGTTAGAAACGCCTTTGATCTAACATTTCATTTAAGCAGGTTGTTACTTTCAAAATGTGTGTTTTTGTCTCTATTGAAAAACAGAAAAATATTAAAAATAAAAACTGGGAAGTAACCAGTTACATTTAGACCGTCACATTTACTTCAGTAACCTTTTGGGAAAAAGTAACTTACTTTTAAGAGTAGATTTACGGCATCGTACTCTCCGCTTTTACTTGAGTAAAATTATTATGAAGTCTCAGTATTTTCACTTGTATTTAATCCACATAAAGCAACTTTACTGAAATTAGAAAAAAGATAATTGAGCCAAAACTGCACCGGACGTGGAGAGCTAAAGCTAAATGTTGTTTTCTTATTTCTACACAAGCTTTAATGTTTTAATTATGTGTTTTTCTGTTCAGTCATTTGAAGGTTGAATAAGTATTCAGTAAACAGGAGACATCGTCACTGGAAACACTGTAGCAACATGTCCTAATAAACCTGCTGCAGGTGTTGGTTTCAATGGTTTTATGTGTTAAATTTTTGATTTTGAAAAGTTGAATTTGTTATTTTGCAGTTGTGTTTTTTATCTATGCTATGATTTTATGTTAATCTACAAAATAAAAACATGAATCTTGATTAGATTTCACATTGTTAAAGATACATTTCTTTGTCTGAAATCTATCAGTCTTATAAAAACATCTTTTATCATAAAATATGTTTACATATTTCAATAAAACTTTAGATTTTGTCTCTTTGAAAACATCTTTTATATATATATATACTAAATTCAAGGCCAGTATTTGGGTCACCTTTCTATCAAACACTCTTTAAAATAACCTCTTGAATTACCTCTTTTCAGCTTCTACTGGAGTAAAAACGTGAAAATTGAAAATACGTCGAGGCAGTTCTGCCTTTTCTTGAGTTAAATTTTTGGATTCTCTCCCCTCCTCTGGCTCTGGGTCACATTGACTTTGTTTTTCTCCGGCTCTTTGGCAGATTTGTGTTTTGAAAGCCGCCATTAAACACAGCCGTTACGTAAGCAGCCCTGTGTGTAGCTGGGGACCGTTTCAGAGTCCGGCCTTGTTACTGTACGGCATCGTTTTTACTGGAACTGAGAATCCACAATGGTGTCCATGGTTTTGACACTTTAACGGTCTGGTTCTGCTAAACAGAAACTCTTATTTTAGAGGAACTTTACAAGCTTGTCACTGGTTACTCAGAGAAACAAACAGATAAGCTTATTTGAGCTGGTTTCTTCTGT